TCATAGACGAGACCCATAGAATCAAGATTTTATGATCATTATGATTTAATGATGATGGGGAAAAATCAATTCACACCTGAGCTACCAGTAGGTGTCATATTAGTAATAAATTAATTATTAAATACATTACAGTAGTTCAGCATTTTCTTCAGTACTTGTGTCATTCCCTTGTTATTACACAAAACACATGTTTTTAGTTTATTTGTATGTTTGGATTTTTGCCAAAATCTGGGTCAATTTTTATGTCAACAAATCTTTTAGAAATATAATCACGATTAATACTTATTTTATGCATGCATGATAATTAGAACCATCTTACAACAAAAATTTAATTTTCCCCCAACATTCAAAGTGACTGCTGAGCAAATGAAGCATTAAGAAGTTTTTGAGATGTAAAAAATGTAGAGATGATTCAAGTGAAAGGACGACTGGTGAACAGATAAAGGCTGAATCACTTTATTGGGTAAATCATGTTAATTGCTGCACTTTTATAGCATTTTATGGAAACAGAACTGTGATAAAAAGCAACCCGATGGTCATTTGCCTTTACTTAGGAACAAATCCTGAAAAGCAGCGGATATAAAGGATCATTTACAGCACCCGATGCTTTTTATTACAGTTTAAACTTCAGAAGAGCTTGATGAATCCACCCTCAAGAATTATACAAATAATACAGATTCCTCCACACCAACTGTATGATATCCTTGTTTATTATAAGCATGCATTTTTAATCTTTGAGCATTAAAATTATAGTTCACCTACACTTTTTTTTAATTCTGTCATTATTATTTTCTCACTGCTTTATTGTGAATTTCTCATTCTTTTGAATACAAAGGAAAATCTGTTGAAGGATGGTGGGTAACATCCTTCAACAGATTTTCCTTTGTATTCAAAATATCTGAAGAATAATATTTAATTGATCAATTAACTGGTTTGAACCACTTGAGGGTGAGTAGATTTTACATTTTGGGTTAACTTTTTAAATATCCATCCCAATTATAGGTCCAAAATAACACGCATTTAAGAAATTTATTGTATATGACATTAATTAAGGGATGCAATTCAGAAAAACTGTGTGTAAAAGTTCAATGGAGTTAAAGTTCATTGAATGATTTTATGATTAAAAAAAATTAAAATAATACAACAACAAAATAAATAAAACAAATCAAACAGGCTTTATAGGTTCAGTATACAGTAAATATTGTATGCTGCTCTTGATGGATGTAAAGAAAAAAAACATGTTTATAATTGCATTCATTCAGGCTGAACACTTTGTTATCTTGTGTTAAGAACTGGACTGTAGTCCTAATAACCTTTGACCAAAATCATAAATAAATGTTGAAATATTACTGAAACCAATAGTACACCATGCATGCACAGTATGCTCTATAAATGCAAAATACATTTGCATGAATGCTAATTACATTACATGTAATTTAAATAAAATACCCAAGGTTAGCTAATGTATTTTCAATCATAAACTAAGAATGATTACATATGCAGCGTTTATAGTTAAATAGAAAGTATAATAGTTCATAATTGACTAATTCATGACTAAAATCTAAAGTTGTGCTTGTTGACATTAGTTAATGCACCGGTAACTAACGTGAACTAACAATGGACAACTTTTTTTTATTAACTAATGTTAACAAAGAGGCCGCACTGTGGCTCAGCGGTTAGCACTGTCGCCTCACAGCAAGAAGGTCGCTGGTTAGAGTCCCAGCTAGACCAGTTGGCATTTCTGTGTGGAGTTTGCATGTTCTCCCCGTGTTGGTGTGAGTTTTCCCCACAGTCCAAAGACATGCGCTATAAATGAATTGAATTAACTAAGTTAGCCGTAGTGTTTGAGTGTGTGTGTGTGATTCTGAGTGTTTTCTGATAAACAAGGGACTAAGCCGAAGGAAAATGAATGTTAAAGGTAATTACTGTAATAAATGTATTGTCCATTGTTTGTTTATGTTAATAAATACATGAACTAATAAAACATTATTGTATAGTGTTACAATCACATTTCATTCTTAAATAGATGAAAAACATCCATAAAATGCAATTTTGTTTTTTTTAAACTGCTGACACTTTGAAAATCAAAAAACATCTACAGGCAAAGCAAAACTAATAAAAAACTAATGTTCACACCTAGCAAGGTAACTATACACGGTAAAAAAATTCCTGTAGAATCTACAGTAACATTATTTGCAGTGGTTCTCCAGTAACTTACTGTAAATCAATTAGAGCAAAAATACTGTATTTACACTATATACAGCCACATTTATCTGTATTTACAGAATTGTATGTATTCAGTATATGTACTGTAAAATATACAGTAATTTACACAATGCAACTTTAAAATACAGTAACATACTCCATAACTGTCTACCAGTAAACTACAGTTATTGTTACAGTTAAATACTGAGTAATTTACAAAAAATGTTAAATGAGTGGATATAAATAATATATTCAGCACTGACAAGCGATAACAATCTGTTTATTTTCAGTTTGTTTTTGTTTTACCTCCTTGTAACCAGCAGGTGTCCTCAGTGTGCTATTAGCGTATATGACTAGTAGAACAAGCTCTTTACGTATAACCAAATCTAACCAAACAGTAGCTATGTTTCCATCCAAAAATGTGAATTAACTTGATGCCCAAAACTGGATTATCACATAAAAGACATGCGGATAAAGTAGCATTTCCACCCAATGAGTCAAATCGAACAAAATCCTCACTCCCTGATTAACTGGTGAGAAATATTAACAGTTATATAAAACTGTTATAAATTAGTTATAAAACTAATTAAAAACGTCAATATCTTCTTCATGTAATAAATTACTTGCACCTCAGAAGGCAATCCTGACACGCAGAGAACACGCGGTGACATTTGAAGGCGTGAGAAGCAGAGCAGAGTAGAGACGCTCTTGACAGTTCTAGAGGTCATTAATATTATAACAACACTAATACTAAAACAGTTAAGGTGTTTAGAATGACCAAAACAACATTTCAGGTGTTTTACAGTGTGCTCAGCCAGCTGGTTTGTCCATTCACACACATTTTTATCATCACATGGTCTCTTATAACAAAGTCACATGACCTTTTTTAATGCGCACACTGGAATTTGTTTTGTAAAAGCGCTTCCATTGTTGTTTAATGTAGTTAATATTTTCTTTTCAAATAAAAAGTTTATCCTACTCAGTTATGCACAAATGTTTTTTTGTGCTCGTTTTGCCATGCTCGTTCCAGCTAACAGGCGTGGGGGAGAACAAAACCGAAAACCACCCAGCAATACAGAGTCCAGACAGCCTATAACAAGCATCGTGCTCTCTCTCATACACACAAACACGCACGCACGCACGCATGCATGCACGCATGCACACACACACAAACACACACATATATACATATATACATACATACATACGCGTGCTCGCTCCCTCAGGGGTTGGGAGCGATATTGTTAGACCGCCCGCTCCCGTCCAAAATTACACCAGTTACCGACCGCTCCAGCGCTTTATTCAGAAATTTATTCCCGCGCCACAAGAAATCTGGTCGGGTCCGGGAATGTAGACCTCTAAAGCAGAGCGTCTACACAAAATTATCTACATTGCAAAACAAATCTGTAAAATGGCAGTTTTCTGTATTTAGTTTTTATTTTTTTTATTTCCTCCATTTATTTATTCTTTTGAAATCGCATCATGAGACCTTGATCTTTTTTTCGACAACTTTTAAGCCTAAAAAATTGGAAAAAGTGATTTTATGAACATTTTTATAGTTTAAAGTGATATATTTTCTGGGCTAATAATAAGCTGACAATATATTTTCTGTTATTTTACAGATTTCTCTATATATTATTTCTTATACATTAATTTTTTTCAAACTACTAACATGTCAATATACTGTAAGTCACCTTGATAAACTGTACATTTTTTTTGTTAGACTGTAATTTTTAACATCAAAGTAGATCAAGGTTTCACAATGCAACTCACAACCATAAATAACCAAAAAGCACAAAACCTGGAAACAAATTAAAATGTTAATTAACTGAAATTTTTACAGTATACAGCTTTAAATTGAGCTTAAAATATTTAGGTGCATTCTGGCTTGCTATCAGTTTTATTGCTTATTAGCTGATAAAAAAATAGTTCTGAAAGTGATCCCAATGACGATACAGTTTCTCTATATCTGTATCACTATAGCAGGGGTCTGAACTGTTGTTTTAGCTTCAGAATGATTTTTAGAATTCTATCATTATCATTATCGTTATTGAATGGGAAATGAAACTGTGGATCTGTGCAAGTCACCTACATCTTAGCTTGTAAACAAATTATATAATTTGCTGCTGACACTCCTGATACATTACATATGCCAAGTACATGACGTCAAATACAAAGAGTATATTAACACAATAACTGAAGACACACTGACCAAATCACAAGGATGTCTCTGTAAATTATTATCCTATTCCTCTTTTTTGGCAGCAGCTGTCATATCATATTCTGTCTCTTGCTTTGTCAAACGCAACCTTTTGCCCCTTAACAAGGCTATAAATCTCATTCACTGTCTTTCAAGTATGACTGCAGCGTTACAGTACGGGGCTGTTATGGGTGAAATGATTGTTTCTTTGGTCACGTAGCTCTCATCTGAAAACAGCAGGACCTTTTTCCATTACAGGTGACACAGCTAATCATCGCAGCACAAAAAAAATAGCTTCGGCTCAGCTCCTCCATTAGGCTTTAAGTGAGTGAATCAGCGTATGAACGGATGAAATATGCAAAAATGTGGTATGAACATCTCAAGCCACTGCAGGCATGCATTCTGTGTACACACACACACACACACACACACACACACACACACACACACACACACACACACACACACACACACACACACACACACACACACACACACACACACACACACACACACACACACACACAAACACACAAACACACAAAACACAAACACAAGTTAAATCTGCGATGTTAAGCAAAGGAGAAGCACTCACCAAATATCTCTCCATTTCTGGCGTATTCTGTGACTAGATAGAGCATGTTTTTGGTCTCCATAACCTATCGAAAGAGAAAGAGACGTGACTTTGATGTGCTGCACGAATATGGGATGATTATGATAATGCAATTAATATCACAAATCGCAAAACCCAGAAATCAGCAGAGCGCTCCAGACTGACAGCATCTTTACCTGGCGTAAGTGTTCACACCTAACTTCAAGTAAGAAAACAATTCTATATGCTATTTTCTTGCGAGGTAAAATAAAATGTCTATTTAATTAGAAGCCTTTCTTTCTCTACAATGCTCTCCCATCTTTGAGTTTTCTTAATAGTGAAAACAACCTAACTGGCAATGATTCAGTACTGTGGTTTACACAACCAACAAATGTTTAAAATGTCTATTTTCCTTATGGCCTTAAATTGATTTTAAGCTTGAAAATGAAAATAAAGTTATAAATAAATATTATAAATAAACAGATTGGTAATATTTTATGGATTTTTAAAATCATTTAATATTAATATAATTATCTATCATAATATACATTTTTAAAAAGTATATTATTAATAATAATGATTAAAATATTTTTTCATAGTTTTTTTCTATATCTTCTTCTGGAGAAAGTCTTATTTATTTTTTATTTATTAATTATTATTATTAATATAGTTACAAATTTATAAAAAAAAAAGGAAAAAAAATTCTAGCCCCCTAAAGCCTGGTTTATACTTCTGCGTCAAGTGATCAGTGTGACTCACGGTGCATGCCTTGCGTCTGTCTGTCTGTCTGTCTGTCTGTCTGTCTGTCTGTCTGTCTGTCTGTCTGTCTACCTACCTACCTACCTACCTACCTACCTACCTACCTACCTACCTACCTACCTACCTACCTACCTACCTACCTACCTACCTACCTACCTACCTACCTACCTACCTACCTACCTACCTACCTATCTATCTATCTATCTATCTATCTATCTATCTATCTATCTATCTATCTATCTATCTATCTATCTATCTATCTATCTATCTACAGTATCTATCTATCTATCTATCTATCTATCTATCTATCTATCTATCTATCTATCTATCTATCTATCTATCTATCTATCTATCTATCTATCTATCTATCTATCTATCTATCTATCTATCTATCTATCTATCTATCTATCTAAAACATTAATTAGGACGAACAAAAACCAGAAACTTTCTAACTAATGCTGTTATGACTTTATATTTGCCCAATAATTCCAAAATGAATGTCTAATAATTATAAAAAATTTATGATGACAAAGATGACAATAATACTAACAATGAATAACATTTCTCATTATCATTCTGTCTTGAAAGCGAGTTATCTGCTATAAAAAGTCCTACTGTTACTTTATGAAAAATAAATCTATGGTTTGCATGAAAAAAATAAGCACTGAAGTAAGAAATGTTTATTTTGCACTACTGTTTTTATTTGTATGTCAATTTAATAAACAGAAAGAATGGACAAAAGAAAGGAGGAAAAGTCTTACTTTTGCACCTCTTTAAAAGTTTTGGTTTGGGTTTGTGTCATTTTAAATGCTCAGTCTCGTTATGCTCTCTGTGTTTGTGAAAAAAAGCCGGCGAGTCAGTCAGCCCATAAAAGCGGGGCAGAGCAGGATTCTCGCGATGACCACCAGCATAGTACTGTTGTCATTAGCGCAGATTCAGTTTAAACTTAGTAAAGGCGAGCTTCTTTAGCAATGATGTGCACAGGGTTAGCAGGGTCAGCACGTCCATAAAGGCGACCTAGGAATTAAAGTGTGGTTAATAGTGAAACCGGCAAATCGTTGCATCCCTATGTTTGTGTTAAGCTAATTGGACAAACTGGTATCAGCGAGAAAGCAGTTCACATGCAGGTAAGCAGTCAGCTGGTAAGTGCGAAAAGGAACGACGTCATACCGCCCTGTAGTCTTCGTTTTAATGACGAAATGCAGCCATAGGTAGCTCTAGCTACATAATTTGTGATCTCCAGAAACTTATATAGGGCTACGTTTTTAGAATGAGCATATGTTGATATTTACAAGAGAGCCACTCTTTCACTGCTATGTAGAAAATCAAAGCTGTCAACTCTGTTTCTCTCTGTGTGTGGACCTTTGACCTGCTTCTGTGAGGTAATGTTTCCTCTCCTCTATCAGTTGTTACAGCGATACTTGTGGATCCAGACGGATCCAGACTGTAAATGTGGCCGTTTATCTGTATCGTTTATCACTCATCAGTGAACACCGCCAGAGCCGATGTAACAATCTAAATGTAAAGGTTTTTAAATATCTATTTATAAGATATAATATAGAATTCATTCAACTGTAATTACAATACTGTAGTTATTTTTTTTATTTGTCATGACAACTGACAACTTTGTTGGAAAAAACTTGTTTTAAATAAAAAGTAACATAATGTAACATACTTTGTGATTATGCTTGGTGGTGCATTGTTTTGGTGCTTTTAAAACCCCCTCATTAAACCCTCTACTCTTTTATGAAAATATAATAAATCACATTTTAAATCGCAAATAGCAAATCAATTTTGATCAGATAAATCGCAATTAGATTGTTTTCTCTAAATCGTGCAGCACTAATATATATACAGTATATAATGAAGTGTGTCCAACATGCTGACTGGTAATGTACATCTGCATTGTACTGTATTTCTATGTGCCATCATCCTTGGATCACGGTATCATCGCTGCACTTTTTAAGAGCACATTTCTTTGTTCTGTTGCTCTGTTTTTGTCTGTTGGGACTAATATTGGACAAATTTGTACATTTGGTAGATTTCTAAAGGTCTATTGCCCGGTGATTCTGCAAAATGAACAATGAGCTTTTTTTTTTTAGAAAGCTCTGTTATATTACCCAACAGACAAATCACAACATGACCTCTGGCCCTCGCTAAAAGTCATGATTGGACTGCTGCTGATGCTGTATTTGTGTTATGTAACAGTTCATCATCCAGACCCAGACTGAGCTAAAAATCTTACATAACATAACATGGCTAACCCTATAAAGCACCAGCTCTAGCTACGGGACTCAACAGGCCTAATCTCAGCAACTGCTAGTATGTACTGCGTGTTATCACAAATGTATACATAAATGCATGCAATTAACATATGGGAAAGTACCTGGTAAAGCTTGATGATGTGAGGATGGTCCAGCAGTTTCATGATTTCCACTTCTCTGTAGATCTTCTCCAGGTTCACCGCATCTAGCTGGGTTTTGTCTATGATCTTAATGGCCACCTGCAATTCAGCAGATGTACGTGTTATTATACAGAGCTTTTGTTCGCAGCGGGGTTTTGAAGCCACTGATGCATTATTTATTCGCAGTTAGCAGAAACTAAAGGATTATTTTAATAAATCATTCACTGAGCTGCACTGCAATAATAATCAGTAAAACGAAACAAAAAAATGTAAAGATCATTTCTTTTACTTTATAGTTGCAATAAATTTTTGCTCAATTCATTGCTCAAACTATACTTGCTCCATCAGATCTTACTTTAAAGCATCTCTTATATAAAAATTTAGCAACTGGTACTTAGCCATGAGAGGATAACTGTTTTAAAGATTTATCACAGTTTGGAAAGTTTTAAATCTGTAAAAATATTTCGTAATACCATTTCAGTGGTTTTTTTAATTTATGTTGTTGCGTGTTTTGATGAAGACTATTTTATTGATTTTTAGGGCAACAGTATCTCCAGCAGCAAAGGATTACATTGGTGCTTGTTCAAACTACATTAGTTAAAATGAGCTGAATCAACAGAATTCTTGAGGCTTTTTTAAACAACTTAATTGTTTTATATATATAGACTTAAATGTGTAAAAACAATTAAGTTAACTTAATGTGTGTAGTGGTCAATTAAAAAAAAAAAACGAAATCGCTTATGTGTCAATAGCCAAGCATGCTCTGGACCTAAACAATGCAGTGGCTTACATTATATCCAAAGAAAAGATACATTTCCAATGACGTCTTTTCAAGCTGTAAACTCGAAAACCGAACATTAGATTTGAATATAATTTACCTCAGTTAAATTCATCTTTATTTCGTTAGCACTTTCACAATGTGGATTCATTCATTCATTCATTCATTTTCTTGTCAGCATAGTCCCTTTATTATTCCGGGGTCGCCACAGCGAAATGAACCGCCAACTTATCCAGCACATTTTTATGCAGCGGATGCCCTTCCAGCTGCAACCTATCTATGGGAAACTTCCACACCCACATTCACACACAGACTCATACACAACGGACAATTTAGCCTACCCACTTCACTTGGACTGTGGGGAAAACCAGAGCACCCAGAGGAAACCCATGCAAACGCAGGGAGAACATGCAAACTCCACACAGAAATGCCAACTGAGCCGAGGATCTAATCAGCGACCCAGCGACCTTTTTGCTGTGATGACACAGCACTACCTACTGCGCCACCACAATGTGGATTGTAAAATCATTATAGTTGAAGTTTAGTTTAGTTTAGTTCAGTGTGTTTAAAAGTCCAAACACTGAAGAGCAAATCCATTGATGCGCAACTCCACAAGTCCCAAACCAAGCAAGCCAGTGGCACTAATGGCGAGAAACAAAACTTCACCAATTGACGAAAGGAAAGATAGATAAAAGTCAATTGTTTATTTAAACTATTTAGCCAGACAAAATATTTAAAATGTATCCTAAAATAAAATATACTGTGTTCAATGAGGAAACAGTTGCTATTTTTTTACCTAGACATTTAAAAAGAACTTATTTTAAAACAGTAATCACAATACCATGAAATAGTGCTGTTTATCCAAGGTTGTCATACTGTTAGAATCTTAAACAAGCCCATGCCTACTGGTACTGGATATATATGGCTGTACTACTTTTGCTCGTAAGAAATGGTGAGAACTGAAACAGCTTAATTTGTTTGGTTTGACTGCAGCTCTTACAGGGATAGTTTGATAAAAAAAAGAAATTACTGTCGTCATTTACTCATCCTTGACTTTAAAAGCTATTTTCTTTTTGATTTATTTATTCTGTTGAACACAAAGTAAGATACTGAAGTATGTTGGAAACCTGTAATTTGTTTTTCCTTGTTCGGAGGTAAACAGTTACAGGTTTCCAACATTCTTAAAAAAATGTTCTTTTGTGTAAAACAGAATAATTAACTCAAATTGCTCTGTAACAAAACAGTAAAGTACAAGCAAGTCTAATGAGTACTTTCCTTTTACTTTCCTTCAGTTTAGTGCCTTTATTCATCAGGGGTCACCACAGTGGAATGAACTGCCAACTTAACCAGCATATGTTTTAGCAGATGCCCTTCCAGCTGCAACCCAGTACTGGGAAACACCAATACACTCTCACACATGCACAAACATAACACTCGGGTCAATTTAGTTTATTCAATTCACCTATAACACATGTCTTTGGACTGTGGGGGAAACCAGAGCACCTGGAGGAAACCCACGCCGACACTGGGAGAACATGCAAACTGACCCAGCAAGGACTCCAACCAGTTACCTGTGAGGCGACAGTGCTAACCGCTGAGTCACAGTGTCGCCTAAATAAATGCTGACATAATTTTCATTTTTTTTGGGAACTATCACTTTAAGTCACTCTCAGACTCAAATTCAGAGAGTTAAGTGACCCTTTTTGTGGCACAGCTGCAATGTAATACTGATCTAAACTGATGCAAAAGCAGATCTAACGCCACATTACATAATGCAGACTGTAGTTAAACAACAATCTGAAGGTGCAGAAATATGGTTCTACTTTTGATTTGCCTTAAATAATCAAAGGTTGTGGCTTTTTATTTAAACATATTAAGCTATTAAAAATAATAAATGGTTGAAAACACACATTTTATGGATGAAAACGTTTTTTTTTTTCGTTTTTTTTTTTCTAATTATTAAAAGTCCAAAACGTCTAGGTGGTCAAACTTTGAAAACCTCATATAAATAGTTAAAAATAATTCTCACAAATATTTTGGTGAATAGCTGAGGGCTTCATTTACATATACTTAAGATCAACACCATAAGACATCTTATTGATATTTAAATATCACCACAAAGTACTGGGTAGATTACTTGATATTAACTGTAATCCTTTACTAATTACATCATGAATAAATTAACTGTATTGCACTTTTGAACATCAGTGTTTCCCAAAGTGGAGTTCATCATACAAATGAAAAATTAAAACCATTTTAGAAATAGAACACTTGATGCCTAGATAAAACTTGTTTATGTTTACAAAAATTTCACACTGTAAAAAATACTGGGTTCCACACAATTCCTTCATGTTGTCCCAACACAAATCAATCAAGTTAACTTAATCATTTTTACAAATATAAAGAGATTGAATGTAATATCATAAAGTTGACCCAAATAACACAAAGGAATTGTGTTGTTTCAACTATTTTTAAATAAGTAGTTTTAACAAGCTGCAAAAGTTATTTTTAAATTAGAGAACCAGTTGAAAACATGCAAATGTATTGTTAAATCGTTGATATACAGTATTAGTAAACAATTTCAGGGGTAAAAAGTACTTTTCTTTTGGTCAAAGGGGATCAGTCCAGCACAAATGTCTTGAAATCTCTGAATTACATGAACAAACATTAATAACAACGAAAACAATAATCCACAACCAAATCTTCTAAATTTCCAGATATTTTGATATTTACATCTTTATTAGAAGTGAATGCATGTGGATTTTAAGAAAAAACTTATATTATATTATATAATACACAAAAAGTAACTGTAATCTAAAAATGAGTATTTTAAAATGTAATCTAATCTGTGATCCATAAATATTCAGTGTTCAGCATTAATAAGTACACCGCTCACAAATCTATCTTTTAAATTCATATTTGTAATAGGAAGTTATTATATTTGTGCATATACATTACACTGCGAACAATGCAGGGTACCGTACCACAAAATTCATTCATTAACACTTTTAACAAATTTATGAGACATAAAGTTAAGTTGTCCCAAAGGATTCGGAAATTGTGCTGTTTCAGCTCATTTAAATTAAAAAGTTTGATTAAGCAAAAAAAAATGTAAAATTATATATATATATATATATATATATATATATATATATATATATATATATATATATATATATATTTTTTTTTTTTTTTTTAAATGTAGATTAGTCAGTACTGAAGCCAAATCTAGAGCTTATCTAACAAAATAACTAAACAACCCAAAAACTAGTACATGCAAATTTATACGTTATAGAAACATATTATATACAAATATTAAAAAAGAGAAACAAATCAAGAGAAGCAATAAGAAATAAAATTGTAGGTTGTAATTTATTTTTGCAATGTTTTGCTTAAAATTAATTGTATCTTTATCTTTCAATTTCTAAATATTGTTCGGTGACTAAAATATTATTTTAATAAATAAATCTGTTTAATAAACATGTTTTGTTTAAATGCACAATAATACAGTCATGCACGGAGAAATTGATGAAAATATTCATATTTAAAATGGAGTGTTCTTATTTATGCTGTGCAACTAAAATGTAATATTACAATTGTTTCATTTTTTAAAATCTGATCCAGAATGTATGAATTCAATTTACCCAATTTGTACAAAAGTGTAAGTAGTAGCCTATAGTACAATATCAAGTGGTGTAACTTAATATAAACTGTCCATACAAACCACTATACACCACTTGACATTATAGCTAATCTCTCAAACACTTTTGTTTTGCACAAAATGATATAATCGTTTTTCAAAACCTGTTAATATCCTCTGAATAATATAAAGATTGCATTCACATTAGAACTTTGCTTTCCATAAACTGGCTTAAATTGTTTCTATTTTCACCCTGCAGATACATTTCGTCACAGACTTGAATACAACTTACATTTTCATGATTGAGTAAAAGGAGGGGAAGACATTAAAAAAAGCTCAACCTAAATATTTAGTAAGTTGATGTGACTGCACAAAGCAAGCGCGTGTCCACCGAAAACACTAGAGTGCGTGCTTATGTATGTGTGTATGTGTCTGTGTTTGTCACTCACCTCAGATTTTGTGATTCGATGTCTCGCCAGCTTCACAACTGCAAAATTGCCTTTTCCCAGTGTGCGCTCAATATCGTAAAATCCTACGCGTACCGGAGCCCGTTGCAACGGCTTTTGGTCCTGAGCGGCCATGACCATAGTTTTCTAGTGAACTACTGGAGAAAGAGGTTTGTGTGTGTGTGTGTGTGTGTGTGTGGATGATTCATCCACCTTCACCTGCTCTTAGAAAGCAACTGAAGTATGAGTATGCTTCTAATGGCAAACGTTAAAATGCAAATGGGGCATATGGGTGCCAAGGGCTCCAGCACATCTCTTCATTCCCAGATAAGGGCTCTACATGACTGGAATGAGCGTGCATTCCGCTCTGATGCTCGGGCTGTGAGGAATGATGTTCTGGCGCTCGACAGACATTGACGTCAGTGCTGAAGGGATTTTTATAAAGGGGCGGGTCTCGCAAAGCGGCTTCAACGTCCGCGAGCGGCGTGTCACCACGACAACCTTATCCGCTGCGTACGTCAATCAGCGGCTATTGCAATCTCTACAAACACTCGCAACTCCCTTGCATATATTTGACCTTCAGTTGACGCTGTTATGAACATGATTATGCACTGCGCGCTGCTTCAACATGCAAACATCAGCACGAATTTTTATTTAAAATTAATTTAAATTTTATGAATTTTTGCTGCATTCCAATTTTTTGTCGAGAGCTGATTTAGCTCGGTGCATGAATGATTATTATTAATATTAAAAATAAATAATAATAATAATAATTATTATAGTTATTATTAAATGCATTGACTGACCGAGGTGTGCTCCCTGTGCTTTTATTCATTTATTTAACTTTAAATCTATAATATATATATATATATATATATATATACACACACACACACACACACACACACACACACACACACACACACACACACACACACACATATATATATATATATATATATATATATATATATATATATATATATATATATATATATATATATATATATACATATAGGGGCGGTGAGGCAGTGGCACAGTTGGTAGTGCTATTGCCTCAAAGCAAGAAGGTTTCTGGGTCGAACCTCGGCTTAGTTGGTGTTTCTGTGTGGAGTTTGCATGTTCTCCCTGCGTTCGCGTGGGTTTGCTCCGGTTTCCCCCACAGTCCACAGACATGCGGTACAGGTGAATTGGGTAGGCTAAATTGTCCGTTGTGTATGAGTGTGTGTGTGAATGTGTGTGTGGATGTTTCCCAGAGATCGGTTGCGGCTGGAAGGGCATCCGCTGCGTTAAAAGTTGCTGGATAAGTTGGCGGTTCATTCCGCTGTGTCGATTAATAAAGGGAATATGCTGACAAGAAAATTTATGAATATATATCAAATTGTTTTGCTATATGTACAATTTATTACCTTTATTAACTAAATAAATATGACTATATTGAATATACAGTATATTACATACACGTTTACTTCAGCAAATTTACATTGTAAATTCTGTCATCTCTGATGACATTTTTTCCCATCTGATCTGCTGTAATTTAGACCATTTTGTAATGACATAATATATGACAAAAAATTTGGGATAAAAAGACAAAAATGTTTTAGGACATGATTATGTTTTTTTTTTTTAAAGACAACACAATATCAATGTTTTCATTTAGGAAGGCTATATCTGGTTCAATATTTATGATTTTCAATCACAACAATAACAAACAAAAATATAAATAGTAATAATAATAATAATTATAATGTTATTATGAAATGTTTTGAAAGAACTCCATTCCTGTGCTTGCTTATAATTATTTTCATAACTTTAAAATATATAGAATAATTATACATATACCAAGTGGTTTTGTTATATTTGAAATTTAATAACTCTGAATACACAATAAATAGGGATTTATAATGTTGACCTTTAAATGTTTTTATTAATTAAAACTGCTTTTATTCTATAGCCAAAATAAAACAAATAAGACTTTCTCAAGAAGAAAAAAATATTATCAGACATATTGTAAAAAAAGTCGTTGCTCTGTTAAACAAAATTTGGCAAATATTAAAAAAATAAAATAAAATAAAAACCCTAAGGGGTGGCTAATAATTCTGACTTTAACTGTATATACAAACATCTGTGACTATGAGCATGTTGTCATAGAGCGCCCCCTGCTGTTAAAATCGCCCAGTAGTATTTACGTTCACTTCTCATTACTGTGCATGCATAACTGACTGATAGGTGATTAATTTGGCAGAAAGTAAATTTCATTCGTTTGTTTTTGTTTATTAAGGCTTCATTAACATCACTGCATACACATTCCAATATTTGCATATAACAAACCTGAAGGACATTTGATCATTCATTATTTGACAGGAAAAGACAGTCTGAAAGAGATTGTCAGTGTTGTTACTGAGCTTGAAACAGCACATCCAGTAAAAGCAGCATAACAGGGTCATGCAAACCAACAAGCTTCCACAGATCCAATTTCTTTCAGATCTCATTAATTTGCTGAGCAGCTTGTTTAAAACAAAATGCCACCATTGAGTGTTCAACCTTCAGAACTTTCTTTGTAGATGGTGTTGCTTTTATATTTGTGTTTTATATATGATAGGGGTGTCATAATAAAGAGGATGGGTGCAAAACATCTGACAATCAAGTAAACTTCAGATAGTGTTGCACTAAATTTTAGATAAAAAGTAGATTGATTGTAAGACAGAGAATTACTTTTATTATTATTTAACATATCATATGTAATTTTTTTATTTTAAAGGCATTGTTCACTTAAAAAGAACAATTTACTCAACATTTACCCACACTCGTGGTTACGAGCTTGTTTAATGTTGAAGATGACATTTGTAAGAATACTGAAAACCAGTAGCCACTGGCATTAATATTTGTAAAGATTGTATTGAAGTCAACATTCTTCTGAATATATATATCTGGAACAAGAAGTCTGGAACAAATCGAGGGTAAGTTAATAGTCTATCCATCTCATTTTGCAATATGGAAATGTGCCAGATGTCCAGTAAATAACTAGAAGTATGATAAAATGTAAATTGTAACACCATTTTCACTACTAGCCAGTGTGTGTTTATGATCATTATAACTATCAGAGAGTAGCTTATATTGTGATTATTACGAGCAACAAGCTGCTTAACACTCTCACTGTATCTGCTTAATTAAGCAAATGACATTAACTATCCAAATAATAGCTGCTTATTACTATTTATTTATTGAACTGATCTCTGGCTGATAACAGAGCACATTAAAACAATCATTTTCTAGAATGCTGCTTTAAAACAATGTTTAAGTTATTGTGGAAAAACAATATCAGGAAGCAAAACTGATCATTTTGCAAAAGCTAAAAGCCTCAACTTATGGCAAACCATTTCAACAGTTAACATATAAGATATTCTAGTACCTATTTTCATGCTACTTGTTATTTTTTTTAGACTACTACTACTCATTGTTTAGACTATACAGGTACAGTGCAAAGTATTCATAGTGCTTCACTTTTTCCACATTTTATTCCAAAATGGATTTAATTAATTAATTTCCTCCAAATTCTACACACAATACCCCATAATGACAAGGTGATTTTTTTTAATTGTTGCAAATTTGTTAAAAATAAAAACCTGAAAAATCACACGTACAGAAGTATTCACAGCCTTTGCCATGAAGCTCTAAATTGAGCTCAGCTACATTCTGTTTCCACTGATCATTCTTGAGATGTTTCAGCAGCTTGGAGTAATTGTGGAGTAATTGTGGTAAATTTAGTTGATTGGACATGATTTGAAAAGGCATACACCTGTCTATATTAGGTCCCAGGGTTGACGGTGCAAGTCAAAGCACAAACCAAGCATGAAGACAAAGGAATTGTCTGTAGACCTCCAAGACAGGATTGTCTTGAGGCACAAGACTGGGGAAGGGTACAACAACATTTCTGTGGCTCTGAAAGTCCAAATGAGCACAGTTGCCTTAATTATCCATAAGTGGAACCACCAAGACTCTTCCTAGAGCTGGCCGGCCATCAAGGCTGAGTGATTGGGGGAGAAAGGCCTTAGTCAAGGAGGTGATTAGTAACCCGATGGTCACTCTGTCTGAGCTCCAGCGCTCTTCTCTGGAGAGAGGAAAACCTCACAGAAGAACAACCATCTGTGCAGCAATCCACCAATCAGGCCTGTATGGTAGAGTGACCAGACGGAAGCCACTCCTGCAGTGAAGCATGGTGGTGGCAGCATCATGCTGTGGGGATATTTTCAGCAGCAGGAACTGTAAGATTAGTCAGGATAGAGGGAGAGATTAATTGATTAATGAATTTAATCAGGCCCGTGCAGAGACCGTCCAAAGGGCATGTGCAGGATAAATTTTTTGAAGGGGGGGTGTGGTTGGGTGGGTGGTGTTGTCGCGCGCGTAGTAAACAGCGGTGTTGTCACGCGGATTCTGATCAGCTGTGTTGTCGCGCGCCTATTGAAGGGCGGGACCGAGGGTGTGTTGCGTCGCGAGGGCACTTTTGATCATTTTGGAAGGGCACTTTCTATCCAAGACTAAAAAGGGCATGTGCACTGCACAGGTTGAGCCCTATGTGTGCACGTGCCTAATTTAATCCATTTTGAAATAAGTCTGTAACATAAAAAAACATGGAAAAAGCAAAGGGCGACTGAGGCTGGTGTCAGAGCATCAAGAACCACCACATACAGACGTCTGCATGACATAGGGTACAGCTGTAGAATTCCATGTGTCAAGCCACTCCTGAAGCAAAAACAACAATAGAAGCATCTGTGCTGGACTAAATAATAAAAGTACTGGTCTGTTGCCCAGTGGTCCCAAGTCTTCTTTTGAGATGAAAGCAAATTTTGCATTTCATTTGGAAATCAAGATCCCAGAGTCTGGAGCAAGAGCGGAGAGACACAAAAGTCAAGCTGCTTAATGTCCAGTGTAAAGCTTCATAGTCAGTGTTGGTTTGGGGAGCCATGTCATATGTTGGTGTGGGTCCACTGTCTTTGTATCAAGTCCAAAGTCAATGCAGCGCTATACCAGGACTTTTTAGAATACTTCAAGCTTCCTGACAAGCTTTTTGAAGATGGTGATTTTATTTCAGCAGGATTTGGGACCTGCACACAATGTCAAAGCTACCGGTACCTGGTTTGAGGACCATGGTATCCTTGTTCTTAATCGCCAGAAAACTGACTGAAAACACCTGACTTTAACCCTATTGAAAATCTAGGGTCTAGTGTTGAGAGGAAGATGAGGGAACAAAGACCCTGAAATGCAGACGACCTGAAGACCAATATCAAAGCAACTTGGTCTACTATAACAACTTAACTGTGTCAAAAGCTGATTGCCTCAATGCCAATCCGCCTTGATGCTCTAAATAGTGCTAAAGGAGGCCCAACAATGTACTGGGGACATAATACAGTACATCAACACACTTTTCAGTAAGCCAACAGAGCTATCTATCTGGTGAAATTATATTCATCTTGCAGTATATCACAGCAAAACAAAATATGGCAATGTTATTTTTTTCCTCAATGTCATGCAGCCTTAATAGGACCAATTATATATATATATATACACACACAGTTGTGATGTACAGTATACAAGTATGACAATAAATAATACATATTAAAATAAAAGAATAGCAGTACCTAATAAATAACACATATCTATTCAACAGCATCTATTAAATAGGTACTAATATTAAATCTATTTAATAGGTGCTAGTATACACTGGGAAGATGACTAGTTAATGAAAAAAATATAATAAACAAGTACCAAAATGAAATGAATAAAATTGTAAATATTTGATATTTATGAGTACACTATCTAATAGATAAGCACTAGTATTTAATGATTAAGTATAAGTATATAATAATAAGTATTACTATTTAAAAATAGGTAATATTATACAATGGTCAGCTGAAATTCTTGATTCTACTTGGATGGAAGATGTGCAAAAAATGGTTTAATGCCCTGATAGTCCATTAGTAGTAACCATAGTAACTCAGTGACAGTTGCCGAAGCCTTCATTTGTCTGTGTAATCTTGAGGACTCTTACATGTGCTTTACGAGGGAGCCAATAGGGATTCAACTTGCAAATATGCTCAAAAGTATTTGTGAAGAAGTAGCTAACACGTTACTATGAGCTACTAATATTCCTGTGTCATTTACACACATATGTGCGCTCACTCTTTTGGTCTGCATGTGACTGATTTAAAATGGGGAGATCTATAATGTTGTAACTTACAATTTCAGTCAAATATTGTTCTGCAAAGAGAAATACTACATTTAATTGGTCTATTTCTTGGCAACTGACCAAGGAATAAGTAGGAAAATTAATGGTTTTGCATCAAGTAGATCTTTGCCTTCGTGTCAAGCTTTTAAAATCATTTAACTCATGGAAAACCATTGATTATCCCTTATGTATGCCACAATATAAACCAAAGTCACAACTGAAATGAATACAGCATTAGTCAAAATTTAATAGCTGATCTCAGTCACAAATTCACACTGAAGTCAATTTGAAAAATCTGAAATTTGTTACTAGTGATGACTGAAATAAGTAGTAAGTCCAGTGAACACTGGGGGACGCTTTTCGATCACACATTTTTCCTAATGTTTAAGTGCCTTATCACTAAACAAAGGGAATCAATGAGTAATATGTCAGGCGTAATTTTTATGATTATTATTATGATATTGCCAATAGCTGCTTGTAAATTCTACAGTATTCCTGGCAACCAAAATTCCCAGTAATTTTACTGAATTTTTTTACACTGTACTAGTATATTTTAAAATAGGTACTAGTACATAAACAATGAGTACAATTAGCAAATAAATAATTACCAGTACTTAGTAGAAGAAAATTGTATCTTAAAAAAATGGTACATTATAATATAAATGTTAAAACGGTTTGCCATATGCTTGTAGCATCGAAAATAAGGTGTATAGTGTAATACTGGATATCTAGCACCATAGAAAAACCTTAGGTGAGACAGCAACAAGCATTGTCAGTCTTAACAGCAGAATACAGAAAGAAATGCTCACATGTTTATCCTCCATATCAGAAGCCATATAATTCATCCATCCAGCCCTGGTCTCTGTAGTATCTCCCGCTTCCTCGGCCTTGCAGCGTGTCGTACATATCATTGGTCACAAAGCCGCTCTCAGTGCTGGCCAGTGTCACAAAACCACTCTCTGTGTCTCTGCCTGTCAGGTTGTCATAATCTCCAGGTGGAGTGTCTGGAGAAGACCCCAGGAAGGAAGTGTTCTTGATGTCGGGCCGTGTGCCGGCCAGATCCGATTCATGCTGCCTTCGGATGACGTTATAGACGTCCGGGCTTGGGCTGTTGCATCTTTCTCCAGCGGCCCAGTATCCTGGGTCCTTTGGAGGAGTCTCGGTCTGTTCTTTCTTCCTGCATACACACACAATATGGTATGTGGTATTAATAGTATTGGGTGTAATTAGTCACAAAATAAATAGTTACTGTAACTGAATTTCTTTTCTTAAAAATAGAAGGGATTACTATTTTATTTCTAAATCTATTAATTACACTTATAATGTACTTGTCTTGTTTAAATATGTTTTGACTTCTCTTATCTCTATTACATAATGTTGGTGTTTTTAATTTATTTTGAACATATACATTTTTATTAAGATCTACTTAATTATGTCTATTTTAGTGCTTTTTAACTATGCTTGATTGATAAGCTTGTTATTCTTGATGTATAAAATTTGTATTGTTTTTAGGGTGACAATTTTAACATCTGTGCAGGGACAATGGAATTTGCAGCAATGCTAATTAATGTACACTCTCCCTGTCAAATAAACAAACAAACAAATAAACAAACAAACAAATAAATAAAGGGCACCTATGATGAAAATTAGCTTTTGGAAGCTGTTTGGACAGAACTGTGGATATAGTGTGTCCTCAGGCATATTGAAGTGACATAAGCACAACAAGTGTCTTTATTGAAATTTATTAAAATGTTAATATAGGACCTAAATCCCAGTGATTTTTAGGCCCACCACAACGGGACATAGGAGTGTGGTTATCTGCCCACTGAATTGATTGACAGGTGCCATGTCTCCATAACATGTATACAAATGTCCTCAGAACATTGTTTAGCAAAGAAACTGGGATTAAAACATATGCTACAATTCTCTGTGATCAGCTGTTTCTTAATAATTAGTTTTATAATGTAAAACGTTTTTAAAACTGCACGTTTTTAGTAAAGGCAGTAAAATCACCATGTTATTCTTAACTCTATAATCACCATGGCCACATGGTGTCAGTAAACGTGCATGTGTGTGTGTGTGTGCGCGTGTGTGTGGCATTTGTGTGCGACTCCACCATAAATACATCAAAAAACTTACTTGGTATTTTACTTGGCTGACCTTATTTCAGCTTCATCCCAGTCTGTCACTATCTATGACTACTGTTTATCTTAAGTAACGCATGATGAGAAGCAGACACTAATGTAGGAGTGGTGGGCATGGACAATTTGGATTTAAAGCCACAGGCTACAAAAACAGCAAAAAACTCAGAGACCAAAAAATGGGCAAATTCTGGAGGCTATAATAAATAATCTGATGAGTATTTTGAGCTGAAATTTTACAGACACATTATGAAGATACCAAAGTCTTATCTTACATCTTGTAAATGGGGTAAAATAGGTGCCTTTTAAAGACTTATAATTAAAACAGAAAACATCCATCCACACACACTCTTTCAAACACACACTCATACACCACAGACAATTTAGCCAACCCAATTCACAGGTAACGCATGTCTTTGGACCTCGGGGGGAAACCGGAGCACACGGAGGAAACCCACGTGAACGCAGGGAGAACATGCAAACTCTACACAGAAACGCCAAGACTCGAACCAGCGACCTTCTTGCTGTGAGGCGACAGCACTACCTACTGTGCCACTGCGTCGCCATGCTGAGATTCATACAGACTTTAAATTGTATTGTATTGAGTCAAGTAATTAAATGACTTACTGAGTGATTAAGTTTATTTTCTGACAAAGTCATTAGAAGAAGTATTTTAAATATAATTTTAACAATGATGAAATACTAACTGATTAATTACTTTTATGATTAACACTGGGTATTAAAGTTAACCTTTTTGTTGATCAGTGAAAAAGTGAAGTGATCAGTGGTGAAACAACGCACCTCTTTGTGAACAGCTTAAAGCAGAAAACTCCCGTCGCCACAACCAACAGCAGCAGAAGTGGTATGGTTGGCAGTACAATGTATGCAATATTGAGAGCGTTATCTGAAACAAAAGAAAGAACATGAAGCAGGATATTGATTAATGTGATCACTTGAGCCTTAATAGACAAACTCTTCAAAAAGTCTGAAAGATTGTATGATGTTTTACGAAAGGTTTACTGTAGGCTGCATTCATTTAATGTTTTTAAAGAAAATAAAAGCTGTTGCAATAGAAAATTAATTATCAGCATCTTTACTTGATCCTATAGAAATAATTATAATATTCTTAAGAGCAAGGTTAGATGAAATATGGAACTCAAAGAACTTTTAAGAACTATTCATGTTGGAAATATTTGTTCTGCTTACAAGTTTTGTGGAGACCAACAAACAATTTGAAAAAAGCTAGCACATCATTTTGAATACCACAATTTTACATATCAGGACATAATTAAAAAAATAAATATAATAAATAAATAAATAAATAAATAAATAAAAATATGGTCCTTGGCAGATCATAAAATTTGGAAAATAAAACTACAGATAAACAACATCACATAACATTTCACACTGTCATTATTTATTTAACAAAAAAATAATAATAATAATAATATAAATAAATAAAGCCAGAAATGCCATGGATGACAAAGATAACACAACCTATGTCTCAGATGCATGTAGACACATCATTTGATGAAAACATTTGGATTTAATAGAAATAGCCAATTTATATAACTATGAGCATGTCCTCACTTATACATTTGATCAGTTTAATAGTTGCCTTTTGAAAATATAAAATTTCTTTCAAAAACATACAACGTGTTTTCAACATTGTCAGCATAATGTATTTCAATTATAATTATTTCAATGAAAGCTAAATTTAAAAGGTATTTGTTATGTGTAAAAATGTAAAATAAAGTAAAAAAACATACTATGCAGCATATTATAGAAGAACATCCCAATTGTCATGTGATCAGTGACACAAATATACTTACCTAATTAGTTTCTAAAAATAATGCATAATATATAAAGTTCTAATACCTATTTACTATTTTCATGCTTCTTTTTTAAAGTTTTCTTTCACCTCAAAGTTTTTAGTAAAGATTCACCTGGAAGTCCAGACACAACCGTTCTTATGCCATCATCTTTCAATGTTACAGAGGGGTATCTGCGTGTTGGATGAGTATCTGCAATGTAAGAGAATTAGTTTTTAGTGTATTATCTAGTGTAATGAATATGGAAGTACTGTCGGTAAATATGAAGATAAACGAACATTTACAAATAAACTGACAGTGTAAAAGAAAAAAAGATTGCTGCTGTAATTTCTTTAGTCGAATCAAACAAACTTTTCTAGTCCAAAATCGAACAAAAGATGCTCAGGGGTAGCTTAAATAATGTGTAGATGCTCTTTGAGCAAGGGATTCATCAGAATAATCAATCAAAATCAGTCCAAGGCACTCGAAAAATGTGGAAAAGGCCTTTATTAAAATTGCTAAAAAGCCTTTATTCATGTCTAATCTTTAAAAAACCTACGCTTAAGCATTTCAGCAGAGAGCTGCCTTCATAAGGGTAACAGTAATAAGGTGCGTCTGGAGTTTATTTTGAATACTACGGTCTCATGACCCAAAAGAATATCTAAACAATACTAAAATAATATATTGAACAAGATCAATTCAATAATCATCATGAACTTTTCTAGTCATTTCAACTCGCATGAATCAAACAGACTAAAAATATAAAAGTAACATAAAAAATGTGAATTTCATGACTTTATTAAATCATTTTTTACAGTGTACATGCAAGTTTCTTCTCAAATTGACACAAAATAGCATAACAAAAGATTAACCAAGATTAGTTATCAAATGTTTTGACTAAGACTCCATCTACAATGCTATTTGAAGTTCTTTCTATTTGATGTCTATTTATTTTTAGATTATAATTATGAGGATATATTAAAAATACAATTCATAATCTAAATAATATGACTGAAAGATTATAATAAATGTTCTGAACTGAATTGAATGTTTTCAGAGATGTAATTGCATCTTATTTTGCCTTTGAATTATTATACATATTGCCACATAAACTGACAACCATTTATGAAAAGTTATCATACTTTGATTCGATTTATATCTGTTGAAACTTATATGTCATATTTGAATATGCTTGTGATGACCTATTTGTAATATTTACAATTAAATAGATTTTCTGTTCATTATTTAAAATACATATTTATAATTGATTCTCATAAGCCATGAGTCCATCTTTTTTCCATATTTTATATTATTCTTTCTATTTACTGCATGCATTTGAAATGGAGCAGTGGGCTCTATTTAAATACATCTTTAGAAATAAAAAGATTTATTTTAAAGGTATTTCAATCTAACTTTATAATGACTAAATAATTTTAAGATGTATTGGGCCCCCTAGTGATTGACAACCCCTGCAATAGATTTAGAGAACAAAATAACTAGTAAAATATGAAGAGTTCAGATGCAAAAACTTCTAAATGCTGTCAAAAATCTTCTTCTAAAACTAGCATTTTTATTAGGCTCTAGTATTTAGGATCAGTAATTTAACTTTTAAGTCAAAGAATAAGTTCTTTTCATGGTTTTCAAAGTTAAATAACTCAACATAAACAAAGGAGGCTGAGAATAATTTAAATGCAAATATCAGACAGCACTTAGAGGTTTTTGCATCTGAACTCTTCATAAGCTCCAAAATTATTCATACTCCTGGCAAGTTCTGTATTAACGTTATTTTTATTCAACCAACAAGTATTTTTTTCTTGACTGGAAATGACACAGGCTTCTTACAATAGAGAATAAGACGATGTACAAGAGGCATTTTATTTACTTAGTTTTTATTTACATTTAAACAAAAACCTAAGGTCAGAATTCGCCAGGGTTATGAATAATTTCTGAATATATATATATAAGCACACACAACATCCATAACATACCTTCATGTGTTTTGTTTTCAGCAGGATTGTGTGCAGGAGGTTTATCTGAAACATCACATGATGACAGTGTTATCACAAATGCCTCATAACAATACAAATATTAACTTTTAATTAAATTTGTACATTTTCTTAAGTACTGTAAATATGAATGGCTTCAAGAAAGTCACCAGTGAGAAATCATAAGCCTGATCGCATTGAAATATAATCAGTGCATTCCACATAGAATATATCTCCCTTTGAAGGGCACTTCGGAGTAAAAACTCACAGCCGCCATATTAAAGTGTTGTTCTAAACCAAAGTGGTAAGTTTGGAAGCAATATTGATTTTGTGGGAATTTCTAAATACACAAAAAAATGATTAATCATTTAAACTTATATGTTTCAAAAATATTTAGATTGATGTTTTGGGGATGGTTGACTTAATAGGTGGTTTATTTTTAAACATGAACATTTTCACGTTAATCTGACCTACAATAATAATAATCTCTGACTATATTTAGGTCTTTTGTTCATTAACTCTGTGTATAGGAAGGTTCCATTTGTTAACAAAATCAGTTAATTGAACTAAAGTCAATGTAAAGACAACACAAAAGCAAAAATTGTTCTTAGGTAAGGTTAATTTGATTTGAATTTGTTATTATGCATTGAAAAAGAAAAGTAGTAATCACTTTATTAAATGGAGTTAATAACTACTAAAATAAACTTTTTTTTTTACTTTAACACAGTTGAAACCAGAAGTTTACATACACTCTAAAAAAGGAACGTAACCATTTAAAAAAAAATGAATAAATGTCTGATGGTAAACCATACTAAACCTTTTTGCTTAATGCTAGAATAATGAGAGATTTTTTTTTTTGATAACTTTTTTTATTAATTTCTAGAGAGTTTACATGCATTTCCTTGGTATTTTTTTAGCTTTGGTTTTAAACTATAACTTTGGTCAAATGTATTGGGTATCCATTATATATTCCCTATATTCACAAGCTTCTCACAACAGTTAGAAGGAATTTTGGCCTATTGTTCCTGACAGAATTGGTGTTACTAAGTCAGATTTGTAGGCTGTCTTGCTCGCACAAGCTTTTTCAACTCTGCCCACAAATTTTCTATAGGATTAAGATCAGGGCTTTTTGATAGCCTCTCCAAAACATACACTATGTTGTCCTTAAAACACATTTTAACTAATTTGGCAGTATGCCTAAGTTCATGGTCTTTTTGGAAGACCCTTTTGTGGTCAAGTTTTAATTTCCTGGCTGATGGCTTGAGAGGTATTTCTACATATTGTTCTTTCTTCATGATGCCATCAATGCTGTGAAGTGGACCAGTCCCTCCTGTAGCAAAACAACCCCACAACATGATGCTGCCGCCCCCATACTTCACAGTTGGGAGGCTGTTCCTAAGCTTGTAAGCTTTCCCCTTTGTCCTCCAAATGTAACACTGGTCATTGTGGTCAAACAATTCAATCTTAGTTCTATCAGACCACAGGACATGTCTCCAGTTGTTTCCCAGTGTATTTAGCAAATTGTAATCTGGCTTTTTTATTGATTCTGGCTTGTTGATTTTCCCATGTTGTCACACAAGGAACCAGTGTGTTTGAAGTTTTCCTTAAATATTATTCTAAAGCTGTGCCTCCGATTAACTTAAATGTTGTCAATTAGCCAATCAGAAACTGTCAAAACCTTGACACCATCATCTGAGCTTTTTCAGAGGCATAATAATTTTATTGCATGTAAACTTGAATTTCAAGAAAAGTTATAACAAACTATGTCATTATTCTGCTATTAAGCATAACAGAAAAAAAATTGATAAATCTAACTTACCTAAAAGAGAAAAAGTTTAGTCACATTAACATCTGACTTTTTTTAAAATGGTTATGTGCCTTTTTATATATTGTACTGTATGTAAACTTCCGGTTTCAACTGTATATATTTTCTAAAGTTGATTTTATTGCACAAAAGAGCCCCTATTATGGGTTTTTGAAAAAGACCTTCCATGCAGTGTGTAACACAGCTCTAAGTGAATGAAAGCATCCAACATAGGGTTAAATCTGAAAGTGCACCTTAGATTTTTTAAATAAAATATTCGACTCAGAGTTGCTTAAATGTTTTGCCATTCGTCCATATCTTTTGCCTGTTCTTATCGATGTCGACACGAAACAATACCAAATATGTTCTGTGCCGGGTCCAGTAAAACGTGAACACGCCTTTCCCTTCAAACACTAGTAGAGTGCGGGTGTGTGTGGAACCTAACATGACTGAAGATTAGTGGACATTAATGAGTAAACGTTCTGGTAAATGATGCAATAATCTACCCTGCAATGGGGGATTCATCGGCCATATGTTAAAGAAAGGATCAGAAAAGACTTTTGATGTATGGGACTATGCCAGACAGGAACTTTACGGTACACAGTTCATGGATCTTCCTCCATTTCACAAGTGTCAGTAAGTGTGATTAAAAGGGTTGCCCCTTGTTTTCTCTAGCTTGCAAAATATATAATTAATTGTGTTTATATAATTATAATTATAATTATTGTGTTATTTGCAATCGCTCCACACAGCTTGTAGTGTATTTGGTTGACTTTATTTTGACATATCGCGCCTAAAACCACATTGAAAATGTGATGAAAACTTCATCAACTAATTGCAAAAAGAAAATATGAAGTAAGCAGAAGCCTACTTCAAAGAGCCCTTTGGAATGAAGGATTTCAAAAGATTCAACTGATGGACATTTCAGGTTCCCATGTCCTAGGAAAGTTGTTTGTGTTGACCAGAACAATCCATTCACAAGGGTTCATCTTGAAGCTGTCACTCCAAAGGGTAAACCCTTCAAAAGGATTAGGGCACAGGTATGAGCCTCTATAAATGTTTTTTGTTTTACAGTTACACTGTTTGAGTGGTTGATTTATGTCTTTAGCACAAATAGTAGCAAAAAACAAATGAAAATAAAACAATAGAAAAGCATTTTGAAGAGGTGGAACATGTCAGATTTTATAGATCATTTGACTGGTCAAAAAATTTGATGCGAAACTCAAGTATAATAAGGTGATGTCTAAAAAATTGTTGATCCATTTAGGCGGAAGTGATACAATGGAAGCTTTTGGATGTTTATTTCTTCTGAATGCTAATTTTGTCTTTTTTTTGGTGCACATTAGCTTATAAATTATGTTATGATTAATACTGATAATAACATCTACACAAAAACTTTATTTTAAATTAACAGGAACTTTAAGGAACAGTTCACCCAAAAAATGAAAGTTATGTTATGAATTTCTAACCCTCATGTCATTCCAAATATCTGAGCCCTCTGTCCATCTTCGTAATGCAAATAAATATTAAGATAGAAAGGAATTAAATCCTAAAGTCAGCCCATTTCCTCAGTGGTTAAAATGGAACATTATGAAGCTAAAAGAACACAACAGTCTCAGTGTCAGTATAAAATGTGTTTTCATAAGCACTCTGCTCTGATATATACCCTGTCTGATGCCAGCTCAATTTTCTCAGTTTGAAACAAAGAACAGGCACATCTGAGATATATGTCAACAGTCAACAGCGCAACTGAACACAACACAACACACATAAAGAGCACACCGCCATAGATATATACACTAGATATCGCATAGGGACCCTGAGCATGCGTCAACAGCACCACCATATTTGTACAGTGCTCCCAGGACAAGTTTCATTCAATCGCACTAGTCGAGACAGTGTTATTACGTGAAGATGCTGGACTTTAGCGCTGTGTACGGGTGTAGTAACGAGCAAACAAAGAAAACAAAGCACAAAGGCAAAACATTTTATAGGTAAGACTTAGTTTTTTACGTTTTTGTACGTTATGAACTTTTGTGCTAAACAGGTAATGGTATTGATGATAATAGTCACTTACTGCATTCACCATAAGGCAAAGTAGTACCGTAACTCGCACTAAACACTCGGCTTATGCTAGTTTTGTTGAATAAAAACAGTAAACAATGCAAAAGAAATATGACGAGATGCTGCAGTGCCAGAAACTTGTATTATTGTTGACTAGTCGTTCATAACGGAGATTCATTCACAAACGAATCGCTCCCTCCGTCAGTATGTGAAGTGAAAGCAGGAGAGGAGGTGTGTTTCAGGACATGATTAGATGAAATTTAACAGGGAGAGTGGAAAGTACATTTCCATACACACAAACACAAGCTTTTTGTCAGGAATGCAGTGCGATCACTGATCCATCAATGTAGAAAAGTGATGTAAAATTATAAGTTTCGTAATATTAAAAAAATGGCATACTGACCTCCGGGAAAACTCCCAATCTTAGATATGTGTGTGTATTTGTGTAATTCTCTGTCTCTGGATGGCCACAGTCTTCCACTGAAGCTTGGTGCCGCATTCATTTCAAAGGAGCGCTATACTGTACTAAAATAGCGGCTCTATTGACGCATTCCTTCTAATATACAACAATAGGGCAGGCGACATCTTATGTATATATCTATGGCACACCGCTATCATGAATGTGTTCATAGTGACAATGACTTTATTTTTGTTTTACAGTATGTGCAAACAAAAGGATTATTCTAGTTTGATATTGCAAATGAATCACATGAATGAGGATGTTTTTTGGTATTTTTCTGGACTTTTAACCAGTCATGAACCTTACTGTCTATGGAGGATGAGGGAGCTGTCAGATTTCACCTAAAAATCTTAGTTTGTATTAAAAGAAGAATTAAGGTCTCAGGAGCCTGGAACGACATGAGGGTGAGTATTTAATAATACAATTTTAATTTTTGGGGTGAACTAATCCGTTAATGCTTAAGTGTTACTGGTTTGTTCAAATCACCAAAAAAGGAACAACATCATTAGTGAAATAACCGATATCATCAGTAGAAAACATGCCTTACCAACCTTTGGTGTACTTGCAGATGAAGTTGTTTTTAGTTTCACAGTTGTCGTCATTCCACTGAAACATGTAAGCGCCACCCTGACCCGGAGGAGCAGAAGGCTGATGATACATCACAACACACACCTCAAACCCACACGAAGGCTCATCAAAGTGCCAGTTTCTGTATCATACACACCACACACACACACATAGCAATTAGCAAAAGGACAGAAGTTTTGAAGGCTATTGATCAGTTAAGAGCTATTATTGTAGCACTAGGCCTGAGGGGATTGAACCCATGAATCTTTCCTCTCATATCCTCCTGTGCGGATCTTTTTAACACGTCATGATATGTTGAGGTGCCAGAGATTTGGAATAAATCTCATATTAGAAATTTCTAAAGAAGGTGAAGGTCTTGATACAAAAAGTTTTAGGGCCCTATTTTAATGGTCGAGGTGCACAATCTATCGCGCATGGGGCAAAAGTTTAAAAGCTATTATTTTTTTATTTCATATATTAAGTCCTTGATTATGTTACTCCCAAAATAATTCTGCATAACCCCACAGATTTTTGACAAAGCTTTCTGCAGAAATACCAATATATATATATATATATATATATATGAAAGTATATCTTTATATGAATGTTTTTCTCCAACAGTTAAAACAGAAATACCTTTAAATATACAACATCATTTCAGAAAGTGCTGATCTACTGGGATTTTCATGCACAACCATCTCTAGGGTTAACAGAGAATGGTCTGAAAATGAGAAAATATCTAGTGAGCAGCCGTTCTGTGGGCGCAAATGACTTGTTGATGCCAGAGGTCAGAGGAGAATGGCCAGACTGGTTCCAGTTGATGGAAGGTACCCAACAGTAACCCAAATAACCATTATTAGAGTACTGTTGCTGACCATGTCCATCCTTTTATGACCACAGTGTATGCATCTTCTGATGGCTACTTCTAGCAGGATAATGCACCATGTCATAAAACACGAATCATCTCAGACTGGTTTCATGAACATGACAATTAATTCACTGAACTCAAATGGCCTCCACAGTCACCAGAACTCAATTGTAATATTGGAGCACCTTTGGGATGTGATGGAAAGAGAGATTCGTATCCGTATCATGGACTGCTTGATGCTCTCATGTCAATACAGACCAAAATCTTGTTTTCAAAATATTTCCAGTACCTTGTTGAATCATATGCCATAAACGATTAAGGTAGTTCTGAAGAAAAAAGAGGGTCAAGCCTGGTACTGGTAATGTGTACCTTTGGTTATTGTATATTTCTTTTCCTTTTTTTTTTTCTTTAGATGTTGTTGTACTTCTTTCTGTGGTTATACATATTGCTTATTTATTTATCCCTTCCTTTTATGTACTTGAATGCTAATTATTTCATAGTGGATGGTTTGTTAGTAGTTTTGAATGAGATTGTGTATTGTTTATATTGCATATCATATATTGCAACCTTTTTAAAACAAAAAGAGCATCTCAGGAGGTTCATCTTTCAGTTCCGAACCAAATTTGCAACCAACCAACCAACTTACATATAGGAAATCTGTATAAAATTTTTATATATATATATATATATATATATATATATATATATATATATATATATATATATATATATATATATATATATTTTTTTTTTTATTTATTAAAAAAACATTGAGAAGTACAACCTGAAAGTTGCTGGGCTTCCATCCATCCAGTAGTATTTAGACGAACAGTTTCCATTCTCCTCATAGCCTCGCCCTTGATCCCTACGCAGCCCAATCCAGAAGTCTCCGTCTGATGCCTTCAGTTCATGGATGAAGGTCTCTATCAGTTTCTGCTCAGTCTTAGACTCGATACTGAGAAGGTCTCCACCATCACTTCTGCAGGCTCGACTAGCCTCTTCAAAGTTGAGTTTACGTCGAATGTCCTGGAAGTAGGCGATTTTATAGCAGGGCTTCTCAGTGCCACGTTTGCATATTTGCTGGCCTAGAGAAACACATCAGAGATGTTAGGAAAGACCAAAAAATCTTTGCAACTATCATAACCCTTTTTATTATTCTATTGTATAAATGTTAAGGTGAATAAAACTTACAATGATATAAAGATTTAAAAAAGCCATTTAAGTAGAATTACACTTTGTTAATGTTTTTTTTTTTTACATTGACTAGTGTAAGCAATGTTTTTATATTGCTTAAAATGTTACTAGAAAGAGTATTTAACTTGGATTTACTTTTAGTTTAACTCTGTTTTACTGATGCATATTAGTCAGAAAGTTACAGTTTCAAATATAAAGAATCAGTAAGACAACTGTTCCAATTTATCAGCAGAAAATAAAATTAATTCACATTTTCTTCCTCTGTGAATTAAACCGTACAATTATAAATTATTGCATCAAAAAAAATACTTTGATTTATTTTTAATTGCTCTGTTGAAATTGGAAATGCAAACCATAATTATGGCAATAATAATAATAAAAAATAATCACATTTTAAAGTGCAAGGTTATATTAATAATAAGTTAATGTTAAGTACAGTGCATCCGGAAAGTATTTCTAGCGCTTCACTTTTTGCACATTTTTTATGTTAGTGTCTCAATTCAAAATGTATTAAATTCATTTATTTCCTCAAAATTCTACACACAATACCCCATAATGACAATGTAATTTTTTTTTTTAAATTGTTGCAAATTTTTTCAAAAATTAAAAACCTGAAAAATCACATGTACATTAGTATTTATTCACAGCCTTTGCCATGAAGCTTACAGAAAAATGTCTGTTGCTTTGAAAGATCCAATGAGCACAGTGGCCTTCATCATCCATAAGTGGAAGATGTTTGGAACCACCAGGACTCTTCCTAGAGCTGGCCGGCCATCTAAGCTGAGGGATCAGGGGAGAAGGGCCTTAGTCAGGGAGGTGAATAACCTGATAGTCACTCTGTCTGAGCTCCAGCGTTCTTCTGTGGAGAGAGGAAAACCTCACAGATGGACGACCATCTGTGAATGCAGTAATGGACAGAGACATCCTGAATGAAACCTGCTTCAGAGTGCTCCTGACCTCAGACTGAGGTGACGGTTCATCTTCCAGCAGAACAATGACCCAAAGCACACAGCCAAAATATCAATGTAGTTGGCTTCACAATAACTCGGTAAATGTCCTTGAGTGGCCCAGCCAGAGCCCAGACCTAAATCCTACTGAACATCTGTAGAGATCTGAAAATGGCTGTACGCCATCCCTTTCTACAACCTGATAGAGCTTGAGTGGTCCTGCATAGAGGAATAGGCAAAAAATCCCGAAGACAGGTGTGCCAAGCTTGTGGCATCATATTCAAAAAGACTTGAGGCTGTAATTGCTGCCAAAGGTGCATCAACAAAGTATTGAGCAAAGGCTGTGAATACTTATGTACTGTACATGTGTTTTTTCAGGTTTTTATTTGTAATAAATTAGCAAATTCACAAAAATAAATAAATAAATAAAATCACATTGTCATTATGGGTTATTGCGTAAAGAATTATGAGGAAATAAATAAATTTTATCCATTTTGGAATAAGATTGTAACAAAAAAATGTGAAAAAATGAAGCGCTATGAATACTCTCCGGAAATGTCAACTAAATGAAAAAAATGGCAATCTATTTTTCCTTCACGGCCCATATAGTACAATATACCAGAAACATACATTTTCACTTAATAAAAACATGACCGGTCCTCACTTAAGCTTATCATCCTCAAAAAAATAAAATAAATAAAAAATAAATAAATAAAATAAAACCATAAAAAAATAAGCATTAAAAATCATCACTGTCAGCTTCTTCTCTGTCGATGTCACATTTATATCATAGCCTTATATATAGCATACCGCATGTAACTTTAATGCAAATGTGACAGGACAATTGTGAATTTCTTTGTATTTTACATTTGTAGCATTTATTTATAATTTATTCTTATTTATAAATTCTTAAGTATTTTTTTTCGTTTTAAGAATAAAAATAATTAAAGCTGTATATTCAATTGGGCAGAGGACAAGCACAATAACAGGGTTTGTAAAATTTGTAAAGTGTTTTTAATAAAGAACAAAAATCTGAGAACCAAATGAATGGCATATTCCTTTACAGAACAAGTCAAAAATTAGTTCATTGTAGACTTTTTTGGGATGAAATATTTTTTATTCACTGTATTTATGTTTTTATTTCAGGGACAGATGATATACGTTTCTGGTAGAATGTCTCATATATTTATATTCATTCAGTTTTCTAAAATAATGATGTTATATCATTATCACAGTACCACACATGCATATAAAGGCACAGAAAGGCTACATGGTAAAAGCGTTTTTATCTTTTTGAATTGTGGTAAAAGCGTTTTTAATCTTTTTGAATTTTTTCAATTATAATTGCTTGAGTAAATCTAGCTTTATCTCTCTCTCTCTCTATATATAACGTATGCACATAGTATCAACTACCACTTCATTTACAGAAAGCCATTAGTGTCTGCGGCAGAACATACCTCTGGGCTCATAAATGTCTGCGCCACAGGGAGGATGGAGTTTACAAGTGGTGGAGAAAAAACAGCCACTGGTTAAAGCATGGTCTAAAAAAGTCACTTTCAAAATGTATACACCTTAATTAAAGTTTATTATTACATGAGAAATGTTTATAAACCAGCGAGTGGAAAAAAGAAAGTTATTGAAAATCTTTTGGAATACATTTCTGCTTGACAAAATACCTGAAAGCTTATCAAAACAATATAGATTTCAAAACAAAAATCGATCAAGTATTATAAGATTCGTATTGTAAGACTTTAAATACTTTACAGTCGAACACAAATTCCTCTTTCACGTCCAACTTACCGCCTAGAAGCTTTGACGCGCACGCGGAGACGCTGAATAAAAGCAGCACGCAGCCACATGTCTTCATTAAATCCATTTGTTCACCTTTGATCAAACTTCAGTGGGTTTCAAAAGTAATTTCACGAAATGCCGAAAAAATGAAAAATGCAAATCCAACAAAGGGAGAGCTCCAGCAGGAGAAAACTGACCACCTGTCCGGTTATCCACTGAAATCTGTATGAACATACAGACGGGCAGATGCGAGACTCGGGCGCGAGACTGATCGAAGACGCGCGCGCACACAGACACACTCACACACAATAATCATAATACATCATCAACTGACAATGGCCAAGAAGCCGTGAGCTTTTATGTGACGAACAAATCACATTATAGCTTATAAGTACAAGGAATTAAACAGTATCAAGTTAACAGATTTGTTAAAAAGGCAACAAAAACTCATATTAAATAGCTAAATTAACTTAAATACACCAATATATTTCACTAAAACATTACATTTTTAAATAGGACAGAAATGTAACCTTGGATCACAAAATCTTATGTTACATGGTTATATTTTGGCAATATCAATATTAAATGTCTTACTCTAAATATCAAAACGTAATTTAAGTAGTAATATGTATTAATAAGAACTTAATTTGTACAAATTTAAAGGTGATTTTTTCAATATTATTTTTAAAGCCCTTGGATTACATATATTTAAAGAGTAGCACACAAATTGGTCAAGATATATCACTTATCAACTATCACATATTGAAATCATATTTATTTTGCTATGCATACATTTAAATATTTTTTAAAATGAAAGAAAAAAGACACCTATTAATGGTTTTGTGGTCCAGGGCCACAAATAGTCTTAAAAAACTGTTCTAATATATTAGAAGTGTTAAATGATTTTAAATATTCATGTTATTAGTGTTATTTTTGTATTATTTAATTAAGTTATGATAATATAAAATACATAAGTATGAAATAAAAAAATGCATTTTAAAAAAGTATTTTAGCTTGTAAATATGTTAAACCACAGCTTCTATTTTGAGACACTTCTCTTTTGTTGGCTACAGTTGGGAGAACATATCTATGAATTTTGAAAGATAAAGTATTTGCTGAGATGGAGTTTATGTGGATCATTTATTGCCAACTGGAAAAAGACTTCATCTTATTAGTGTGTTTTATTGGAGCTTCTGAACTTCTTTCTGGTCTTCATCCACATCTGATGAAAGTGTCTTTGGAGCCAATCTACACAGAACACACATAAAAGACTTTAAAGTAACAATGAACCAATTATTTAAAAAAAAGGCAAATTTTACAAGTCCCCTCATGTTAAACATTTGAGTTTTACCATTTTATAAATCCATTTAGCGGATCTTCACATCTGGCAGCACACAGCTTTGTTTAGCATAAACCTCTGAATTCGATTACATACCCCTATATACATTTCTGGAGAATGCCAAATACATCCCAGAAGCTACCCTTTTTTATTCCAGTTTTTGTTTTTGCGAATCTGCCAGAGGCTGCTGTGTACGCTTTTTGAAATCTCAAATTTCTCTCGCGACCGAACCGAAGTGTTCAAAAAAGCAGTTCAGAAAATGAAAAGCCCTAACTGCAGCCTGATTTTTACCACTTTTCAGATTTTTACAATATTCTTACTCTGTTATTTACTTGTTTGTTTTATATTTTGGCTTTTGTTTTTGTCTTACATGCTTTCTGGAACCCTTCTGGAACTCCATTGTCACGGTCAACTCCGCTCTGCATGTCAAATCCTCCGACGTATGCGACGAGCTACTGGACAAACTGGTAAAAGCAAAAGAGCTGTCCACACGGATGTAAGCGCATAAAAGAATGGCGTCATACTGCTCCATAGTGTTAATTTTAAAGATGAAATATAGCCATATGTTCATCTACATTTTCAGAATGAGCCTATGTTTCAGTCTGAATAGACCGTTAGCATCTCCCTCAAAAATGACCAACATGTTTCAATAAGTTTATTATTTAAAAGTTTGACTCCTCTGTACTTCGTAGTGAGCACTAAAAGTAGCTATTTTCTAGGTTGACACAACTAGGGATAGCAATCATGATTTTCAAAAGTAATACAGTACTATCTGACCAATTATAAGTACTATTTGTTGAGCCTCCCTACACACTTATTAGGTACACGTCCAACTGCTTGTTGACGTACATTTCTAATCAGCCAATCACATGGCAGCAACTCAATTGTGGGGGGGTTGTGAGGGATAGGTGGAACTCCGGGAGTTTTCCGGGAGACTGAACAATACGGGAGACTTTCGGGAAAAACGAGAGTGTTGGCAGGTATGATCAACCTGAGTATTGTTGCTGACCATGTCCATCCCTTTATGACCACAGTGTACCCATCTAGTAATGCAGGGGTCAACAAACTTGTTGCTGGAGGGCTGGTGTCCTGCAGATTTTAGCTCCACCCCTAATTAAACACCTGAACAAGCTAATCAAGGTCTTACTAGGCATACTTGAAACATCCAGGCAGGTGTGTTGAGGCAAGTTGGAGCTAAACCCTGCAGGGACACCGGCCCTCCAGGACCAATATTGGTGAGCCCTGTTCTGATGGATACATCCAGCAGGATAACGCGCCATGTCATAAAGTGCGAATCATCTCAGACTGGGTTTCCTAAACATGACAATGAGTTCACTGTACTCAAATAGCCACCACAGTCACCAGATCTCGATCCAATAGAGCAACTTTGGGATGTGGTGGAACGGGAGATTTGCATCATGGATGTGCAGCTTACAAATCTGCAGCAACTGCGTTATGCTATCATGTCAATATGCAAAATCTCTGAGGAATATTTCAAGTACCTTATTGAATCACAAAGGATTAAGGCTGTTCTGACGGCAAAAGGAGTCCGACCCGGTACTAGTAAGATGTGCCTAATAAACTGTCCAGTGAGTGTATAGCCTGATAGAGCACTTGGACCTGGAATCGGCGCAATGATATTTTTTCCCACTTGGTTTATTGAACACAGCATTGTACTTTGATTGTATTTTATAATTGTATTTTATATATGTATTATAGTTTTTTAAAAGCATTCAGCAACAAAGGTCATCTGAGCATCATTGTAAAATGTGTCATGCCTACACATTTAACTTACTAATGCTAGAAACCAATCTACCACACAGACTAATGAAAGTCTCTCTATGTGACATTAAGTAAGGGATTTTGCAATGACGCATTCATCAGCAAGGGAATTGTTTTGGATAATAGGACAGGTAATCAATGCAGGTTTGAGGCGTCTGTTCAAAGCAGAAAAGATCAGACAGATTTCAGATCAATATCAGAGCCTCAATATAAGCCTAAGTTGCTTTTCCAATAACCCTTCATCACTGGGCCTGCAAATCAATTTTTGTAGGCTGGGAATCCATATAATAATGAAAATGTTAGAAACTGTCAGTATTTCCTCTCTCTGTTAAGCTGACAAACCATTTTTTTCATCCTTTACCAGAAAACCTGTTTAAATACTACTGAACTCCATATGGTTTTCCTTTTTATAATTGAATGTGATTTACAGTAGCAGAATCAGTGAAATTGCAGCCCTCATGCAGTCCACAGCAGTAAATTACTATTAAGCACACAATTACTATTACTTTATTGAACGCAGTATTACACTGCACTATACCATCACCTTTAATTATAGAAAGTTTATTACGCTAAGTCATGAAAGATACAGCGAGAAGTATCCTGCTAAATGAAATTATGTTAGGGTAACTTGCTTGTCTCTGAGAGAACATTTTGTTAAAATACATACCTTTTTTCTTCTAGTTTTCCTTTTTTTGGTTTGTGCTTGTAGGCAATCATCTCTTTCTGTTGAGAATATAAAGACAACCTGTATTTATTCTGCATGACTTTATTGACAAAGGAAACAAATGACATGGTAAAACTGCAAGCTCTCATTTGTTAACATGATCATTTATTGTATATCTTCCAATTATAAACAAATCACAATTACAGTAAAGAAAAACAAACCATATTCTGAAACACCGAAATACAAGACTGGATTAATAAATAGATGTTAGGTAAATGGCCAATTGTTGATCTATTTATCCTCCACAAACTCCTTTAGGGTAAAAATGTAAACATATAAATTCCCTCAATGTGTTTCAACAATGCGTTTTGGACTACACTGAATCTGGTAAGTAATCAAATTTATTTTCAAATTTCTTTTGTTACAGCCTTTTTACAAAATGGACAGGATTCATTCTACAAAAAAATAACCCATTTATGCATGAGCCAGTATAGGTTTATGACAGTATGATCATCTTGGATAAAAATACTACGATTTCACATTATCACGGTATTGTAAATACTACTCTAAAATATGTTCATTTAAAATGTTTGGGTAAAACAAAACAAAAAACAACAATTTCTTTTCACAATTAAACACGATTTATTTTATTTCAAGAAAACATTGATAATATTTTGGAGTAGTAAACACTAATTCCTTTAAACACATAAAAAAGCTTACTTATACCTTGTGAACGGTATAACAGAAATTTCAGCGGTATTAAAACCTTGACTTTGCCACACCGCGATAAGCCTTGAAACCGGTTATCATCTGATGCCTTTAACTCATAATGACATAGTGAAACAAGTTTGTTTTGAATGTTTGAATCTTCAAAAAATAAATAAAGCAATAGTAATAATAATAATACTAATAATAATAATAATAATAAATAATATTAATAATCACATGTAGTCAAATAATTCCAGCCTTTGCAAGGCCCCTAATGCCCTCAGGTGCGTCCTGTTTCCACCCTAAAGTCCACAGTTAACAGTGGACATTAAAAATAGGACTGGCCTGCAGCAAGGCCAAACTGAGCAATCATTGGAGAAGGGGCTTAGTCAGGGAGGACCTGATGGTCATTCACTCCTGCATTCTTCGGTGGAGAGAGGAGAACCTTAGAAAAAGAGATGCCCAAGCTAGAGCCTGTGGGCCAAAGTTAGTGGTAACCTTTGATTTGGCCCACCATCCCATCTAGGAAAAGAGGCTTGAATGATAGGGATGCTTTAAAGATTGTAATTTCAAATTTAATGCAATTTTGATTTGTTTGTTTTACTGTTAAACTAAAATTAAACGTTTCAAAGTAAATGCTGTAATTGAGTTTAAAATGTACAAACAGTCACCGCACAGTTAGAGGACAATGCACAGGTATTGGTGCTTGACCAGTGTATTCAGCATTGCACTCCACTGTGTTATGTGATTGTTTATGCTTTTATTACCATAAGTTATTGTTTAAAAAAGGGATACTGCATTAGTTAATATGACTCAAAGTGATTCTCAAATATTATGAAATAGATTAGGAAATTACCCACGTAAAATAGTTTGGTGTATTTATCTTCGGCCCACGGCTCTCAATGATGTCCTTCAAATGAAAAAGTTTGGGCACCCCTGTTCTAGAAGAACAACCATCTCTGCAGCACTATAATCAGTCTTGTATGTTAGAATAGCCAAACTCCATGACAGCCCATCTATTTACCAACTTTACCTGAGTTTACCAATAGGTATCTGGTCTGGAGATTTGGTCTGGAGAAAACCAGATACAACTCCAACACCTAGCCAAACCCATTCCTACAGTAGCAATGTTTTCCAACAGCAGAAGCTGGTGGAATAGTCAAGATTTAAGGAACGATGAATGCAGAAATGCAGAGTCAGTTCATCTTTCAACAAGACAATGAAACTAAGTACACAGCAAAGAAGGCAAAGGATACTATATAATATATATCGGGTCTTTGTGTAATACCAGAGTTGATCAGACTCAAGTAACACCACACTCACCAGTGATTCAAGAAGCAGAGTCATTGCCTTTGAAACAAAAATGTAAACATCAATGTGGACAATGATCAAATATAAAAATAAAACATTATAGACAATGATCAAATATAAATTAATAAATAAATAAATAAATAAATAGTGGGGGTGGCACGATGGCTCAGTGGTTAGCACTGTTGCCTCACAGCAAGAAGGTCGCTGGTTCAAGTCCCAACTGGGCCAGTTGGCATTTCTCTGAGGAGTTTGCATGTTCTCCCAGTGTTCACGTGGGTTTCCTCTTTGTGCTCTGGGATCTACCACAATCCAAAGACAAGGTATAAGTGAAGTGTGTAAGCATAATTGTCCAAAGTTTATGTATGTGTGTGACAGAATGAGTGTATATTGGTGTTTCCCAGTGCTAGGTTGCAGCTGGAAGGGCATCCGCTGTGTCAAACACATGCTGAAATAGTTGGCGGTTCATTTCGCTGTGGCGACCTCTGAAACAGAGACTAAGCCGAAGGAAAATGAATGAATGAATGAATAATGCTCTTCCCCCAAGCCAGCAGCTGATCGGATGCAGTCAGGTGTTTATCTGGTACATTTAAGTCACTTCTTGGGTCTGCATAGGTTTAGGTCTCATTTTCAAATAACATATGGGTCCGGGTTGGTATTGTTAAGCACATTTACAGGTCTCATCTGGTTCAGGTAGGAATTTTTTGACTCGTAAAGATGTTTTAGATGCAGTGACTTAATACCTGGCTCTATGGTGGCTCTCGAAATGGTGGAAAGGCAAAGCAGTTCTTAGAAGACACAACGGATGAACCAGTTCCCAACTAACACCTAATTGATTCTAGTAAAGTGGTATCTGAATGTCCTCGAGTGGCCCAGATGTGAACCCGATTGAACCTAATATGAAAATAGCAGTGCACCAATGCAGTGCATCCAAGCTGATTAAGCCTGAGAAGTACTGCATTGAAGAATGGGAGAAACTGCCCAAAATAGGTGTGCCCAGCTTGCAGAATCATTTGCACAGATTTTTGAGGCTGTAATTTGTGCCAAAGGTGCATCAACCTTGATGAGCAAAGACATGGTGCATGATGTCTCTTTCCTTTTTCAAAGATTAAAAAAAAAAAAAAAAACTTTATTTTCTTTGTCATTAAGGGGTAATTATTGTAGAATGTTGAGGAAAAATATTAATTTAATATATTTAGAATTTAGGCTATAACGTTCCAGATATACTATATTAACAAACCAGGGGTTGGATAAAGCACCACCACCCCATAATCATCAGGCTGTTCCCCAGAGATACATCAAAGTGTAAAGGAAGCCCACCCTCCCCTCTGCTCCTCCTCTATAGGGGAGGATGCCCTAAGAAATGCTGAGGCTCTGGGGAAAAAGTGCTGAGGAAGGGAAAGAGAGCACTCTAATGAATGGAGAGAAATAAAACACTTGGCTGTCTGAGGAACCTGTCCTGCAGCATCCAAATATGCAATAGCTGTGTAAGCAGAAGACCTGAGATGAGCTTTAGGCTGATCCAAACTGAATAGAAAGACAGGAGTGCATGTTTTAACCTAATGGGGACAAGTACTTTAGAATTCTTACCTTAATTCGTTCATCCCTCTGCTTTTTCAGAAGGGCGATAATCTGGTCTCGATTTTTTGCCTAACACATAAATAAAATATGAATTAGAATGAGATTGTATGATTATTTACAGCATGAAAAACCTAGAGAAAGAAGTCACACAAAAGTCTCGCCAAGATTATATTTATTTGTTTTATTCAACAACGAGATATTTCTATTGTTAAAGATTATTAGGTTTGCTTGAGCTTTTAAGCTTTTGTACAACTTGGCTCACTACTTGAGACAGCTCTGAATTTTTGTGGTATAACTTTTCAAGCTAAACAGAGGCTGTACTTCATAAATTGGATGATAAAAAAATCCAGACATTCATTGTAATCTTACACATAAATACCACAGAACATTTAACGTACACTCACCGGCCACTTTATTAGGTACACCTAAGTACCAGGTTGGTCCTTCTTCTGCCTTAATCCTTAGTGGCATAGATTAAATAAGGTACTAGAAATATTCCTCAGAGATTTTGGTCCATTTTGACATGATAACATCACACAGTTACTGCAGATTTGTTGGCTGACATCCATGATGCGAATCTTCCGTTCTACCACATCCCAAAGGTGCTCTACTGGATCGAGTTCTGGTGACTGTGGAGGCCATTTGAATACAGTGAACTCATTGTCATGTTCAAGAAACCAGCCTGAAATGATTTGCACTTTATGACATGGCATGTTGTCCTTCTGGTAGCAGCCATCAGAAGATGGGTACACTGTGGTCATAAAGGAATGGACATGTTCAGCAACAATACTCAGGTAGACTGTGATGTTGTCACGATGCTCAGTTGGTGCTAATCGGCCCAAAATGTGCCAAGAAAATATCCCCCACACCATTACACCACCACCACCAGCCTGAATCGTTGATACAAGGCGGGATGGATCCATGCTTTCATGTTGTTGATGCTAACTTCTGACCCTACCTTCCGAAAGTCGCAGCAGAAATAAAGCCTCAGTTTCCTGTTCTTAGCTGACAGGAGTGGCACCCGGTGTGGTCTGCTGTAGCCCATCCGCCTCAAGGTTGGACGTTGTGCATTTAGAGATGCTCTTCTGCACACCATTTAACGAGTGGTTATTTGAGTTACTGTTGCCATTCTATCAGCTAGAACCAGTTTGGCCAGTCTCCTCTAACCTCTGGCATCAACAAGGGAATTGCTAAAATGCTCACTAAATATTTTCTTTTTTTCAAACCATGTTCTGTAAACCCTAGAAATGATTTTGTGTGAAAATCCCAGTTGATCAGCAGTTTCTAAAATACTCAGAACAGCCCGTCTGGCACCAAACACCATGCCATGGTCAAAGTCACTTACAGTAATTCACCTTTCTTTCTCATTATGATGCTCGGTTTGAACTGCAGCAAATTGTCTTGACCATGTATACATGCCTAAATGCATTGAGTTGCTGCCGTGTGAACGGCTGATTGGAAATTTAAGTTAACGAGCAGTTGTACAGGTGTACCTTATAAAGTGGCCGGCGAGTGTATATCCACAAATTGATATCTTCAGATGCCAATTAATGCTATCAATTTTTGCAATTCATAATAACAATACACTAAAACATTCTACAAACATCCTAACTCTATTAATGTACTAAAACATGCTAGCAGCATGCATATGCCATTCTAAACCCTAAAAATGAGATGAATCAAAGCTGCAAGCAGCAATGAAATGAACCTCAAAAGTGCGATAATGCCAGCAAAGCACTGAAAACGTTAACATTAACAAGATGTAAATGAATGCTAATAACTCTAGAAATACTCAAAGCATGCTACTTAATTAAGAGCTATTTAGAGCTATCAATGCTCTAAATGAATAATGCAATGTGCTAAAACATGCTAGGAAAATGCTTTGTGTTAACAGTGTGCCAAGTCATGTTCAAATGAGCTATTTGCATATTTTTAACCATTTTTGACTTTTAGGCTTTCACGGCAAAAATGAAAGTTGGTCAACAAACTTTGCTATCAGTTTATAATTTAAATGAACTGTTTTCTATTTTACTATATTTGTAATTCATTTATGTCTGCTATGGCAAAACTGAATTGTCAGCGACCAGGCTTCAGTGTCACATGAGCAGCGTCATCCTTAAGAAGTTCTTCTAAAATACTGATGTTCAATTATCATCACAAACAATATACAAAAACAATAATGTAAAAATAATTTTCTGATCATTAAATTATATTTAAATAACCCCTGAAGGATCGTGTGAGACTGGAGTAATGATGCTGAAAACAGTAAATGAAACATGGAATTGAAAACACAATATATTTCACAAAATTACTGTAAATATCCTGATCTGATTACTGTTACTTCATGGAACATTAGAATTTAAAAATTTGGAAATCTGAAATGAAAGCAAAACAGACACATATTTAAATGTAACATATTTGCTATATACAAATATGCATGTAAATACTATCAGGGTACATACCAGTTACTGTAAGTAATATACTGACACCTTAATGACTGTCTGTAAAAGATTCTTCATGACACACACACTTGCACTGCTGAACAGACTTCAGATGTGAGTATACGCCGGCCGACAGCTGCATTACTAAACAAGCCTCATCATTTTGATTTAGCGCCCGTAGTTTCTGGCTGCACTTAATGTCATTTCATTAAATCCATTACATGCTTGTTCACTGTAACCATTTTTCAAGCCAGTGTCATTTTATGGCAGCTTAATCCGTTATAATAATGTAATGTAACGTCTTTGTTGATTATTATCACCCAATGTAAACATCTGTCATCCTACAATCTGCTAAAACTCTTGCAACTAATCAACTGGAGTTTTGGAACGGCACAATTCATCTGCAAAAATCACATTAGAGCAGACTGGAGTATGATTACAGTTTCTTATGCTGACGTAAACATTATGATTAAATATATATATATATATATATATATATATATATATATATATATATATATATATATATATATATATATATATAGAACAATGAATTTTTGAATCAAAATGAAGCATTTTTGAATTCTGCTATGGAGGTTTTCACATATACTGTATAAGCTTAGCACTGGCAATTTATAATTCTCTGATTCAGAGGGTTTGGGAATGAGGTTAATTAGCTAAGAGTAATCTCATGAAATGGACCTGTCCTCCAGAGGGCCATCCATCTTGTGCATGCAGGTTGATTACTCACAGTGGGAATGCAGGCATTACATTGAGGGTACTGCCCACTGCCATCTACATGCTAACGTCAGATGAATGAATGAACGAGATGAATGACTTACCATATTGTGAAAAACACATTCAATTGACGACTGACCATATTGTGAAGAACACATGAAACAACAGCTTATAGAGAAAAAGAGCTAAAGTAAAGCAAATGGACATAGTAAAATGCATTACAAGAAAGCAAAAAAAAAAAAAAAAATTAACAATTTCTAATCAATGTTTGTTTAGTATGATTTAAATACTACTAATAATCATTTATACTGTATTTATTGTTTTAATTTTAATTTATTTTATATATATTTTACGCTTTTTGGGACCTTGATGCTCCACACCTTTCTTGTTAAAAATATATATATGTGCAATGCAATAAAATTGGTTTTATTATTTTTTTTTATATGTCAACTATGTTAATAATATTTCAGTGAATTTCTCATTAATGTTTTAAAAACTATGAAAACATAAAATTGTGTTGTAGACATGCACCTGTGGAACTTGGTTTGTAGTTAAATGGTGGAATATGTCAACTCTGTTATTGTCAACACTGTTAGTGCACTGTAAAAAATTTATTTCCGGCAGCTGGGAAAAAAACGGCCATTAAATTACAGAAATTTACCGTAAAATAATGGATATTAAATTACAGAAATTTCCTTAAATTTAAATTAAACTTTAAATTTAAACTTAAATTTCTGATAAATTTCTGTAATTCAATAGCTGTTACTTTTAACTATAAATTTCTGTAATTTAATGGCAGATTTTTTACGTTTTTTTTAACTGCTGGAAATAAATTACCGATTTTTTTTACAGTGTGGTTTAAAATGTTTACCAATAAGTTCAACGCAATTAGTAATAGAATCAATTGTGCCCTATTACATTAACCATTTTCCATTACTTTTTATTAATAATTTATTCATTTTAGTGTAAATTACATATTAGTTGTATACAGAGTATGGACATAAGTCAAATATTTCTATAGTTACAAAAATAAAGAAACAAACAAAATCATTTTATATTATCAAATTCCATACAAATACACAGATATAAAGATGACTATAAAAATAGTTACCAAATGAACCTTTCAGAGTTCAACGCTAAAGATTTTTTCAACTGGCCCGATTGGACCAGTGGTTCAGATTTTTACTTGCCCTGCCAAAATTTTCGCTGGCCCCGCTTAAAAAAAAAAAAAAAAAAAAAAAGTTAATTGCTATTTATTAGCCACATATATTAAATAATGTGTCACAAAATAATGTATGTGAATGCAGAATTTAAATGTTTGAAAAATGTTAAAATATTTAGCAGTAAAACATAGCAGTATGGAAAATGCGCAGGTATTTTATTTCAAAACAAAAGGTGGCTGACTTAAAAGTGACGACAAACTATGCAAAACATCACTTCAAATTTTTTTTTCGTGCTGTACTCATTTAAATGTTTCCACAACGTTAGAAACAGACGTTTTCTTTTAGCCTCATAATTTGATGTTACGGTCATGTTGCCGTCTATTTAAATTTAGTGACAAGGCAGCACTGCCCCGATCGGGCCAGCAACGATTCTGTCTACTGTCCCAAGCATCTCTCACGCTGGCCCTGGGCCATTGGGCAGTCCTTATTGTTGAGCCCTGCCTTTTCACATTTCTGGGTTTCTCAGCAGCAGAAGCCATTATAGTTGGGTAAATGTAGAGAACAGTAAATAGAAGAGTACAATTTATTTATATATTTGTATTTGCTCAAGCGATAAGCGATAGCTTATCGTGCTGTAATTTAAGAAAAGATCTGCATTCATTTGTAGCACACATGCTACAAATACTCACCACGCAAGCACATAAAAAAACGTGCTTCATTTTTTACA